TTTTTGAGTTGCTCCCCAACTGTGGGGAATGTATTCTGTTGTATAATTTTGACTGTCCTGTTTGCAATTTTGACTATGTATTTGTCATTTGTATTACAGGCAAACCATTTGCACACGCGCTTGATTTAAATAAGCTCTTAAGCTTGCTCTTTGTGGGAAACTGTAAATTCATGTGCTGTGAATAAACTGTGAATAGCAAATTCTCTGGAGTTTGCTTTATTTGCCACATCAGTCAGTTTCCTCAAAAAGTGAGCAGCAACTTTGTGTGGGTCTTGCCCATGCTACTGCATAACTGATGTCCCTGGTCCTCCGGTCTGAACAAACTTGACCTGACCACTTCCGCAACTATCATCCATTCATCTCAGGTGCTCACCCAGTGACCTAGCTGGGGCACCCAACCATTAAATTCGGAGTTATTCGACTGTTAGCTTACAATTGTGTGTAGCCTCTCATTCTAGGCACAACACGTAAGGATTTTATAAACCCGTCGTATCATCACTGCTACAGGTTCATCGCAGAAAACTGACGCACTGGAAAGCTAGAAATTGGGAAATCATGTTGGCGGCTGTGAGCCATTCATCCTGTAAAGCACATCTAAGGCGACGATGTGTACAGCTCATTTTCCCTGGAGTCAGAACGCCATCATTTCAATGCAAGAGAATATAAATTTTCTGCAACAGCTGTCATAAGCCAGTGTGATTACCGGATCAAGATAGGACGGAGCTATTCACTGAAAATCTGAAAGAGCTCCCGCTTCCCTTCAGAACTCTGAAGCAGTGAAAAAAACACGAACGGGAAACACGATAAAAGGAGTGCTCCAATCACAGAAAAACCTTGAATAACATCACGGAATCAGGTCTTCTCAGCTAAAATATGTCTAAGAGAAGGCATGAATTGGGAGGTTTTGTCGGAAAGGCACACGGATACACGAACGGGTGCGGCAGGCAACATCTTTCCTCGGTATCAACGAGATGGGTGACGCCGAAGCCATCATTCAATCGTCCCGAGAACAACTAGGAGAAGGCAAGAAAAAACTCGATCTCACCGGGATACGGAAGACGACCGTAGGTGATGAGCTCTGTCAACAAAATGCCGAAGGACCACACATCAGATTTTATGGAAAATTTGGAATAATTGGCGGCTTCTGGGGCAGTCCATTTGATTGGGAATCTTGCTCCCGCTCGGGCCTCATATTCATCCTCCTACAGAGAGAAAATTGAAAATTTTTCAAACAGACCGTACGCGTTTTTGTGATGCATCTTGGACGCCGATCCATCCATTAATTCCTTATACTGTCCAGTACTGTATCAAGATTTTTCTACCCAGAAAAAATGTGTAGTATATTCGAGTGAAATAACAGTTAAGTTCTTTTCAACAGTTGATAAAAAAATTATACATGAGAAAAGGTTCCTCGCTCCTCAGAATTTTGTTTTTCATACGGTATTGGGATTCCATGCAACTTCTGGGAAGAGCCATAAAAGTTCATGCACTTCTTACTTGTTCTTCAAGTAAGCATGAAATATCCCTTGGCCTTATCAGTACATCAAAATAGAATCTACGGATACAAAAAATGGCCTGGCTTCCCACGCATTTTCAAGGGCAGCAGTCATGAAAAATACTGGACTAACTGAGGATATTTCCTCCTGTAAGAGTAAGAGTAAGAGCGAAAGCTAATGATATTTAGCCTATAAAAACAGAACGATATTTTTTTTAATCAGGACAGTCGAAAGAACCTTGTCTCTTTCACGACGGGAGCCTGGAAGTTTGCTTTCGAGCATTAAATCCGCACAGTGGAAATAAATGCGAGACAAAACGCGTTAAATTACGAGCGGACAGGCATTTCTGTCAGACAGGATTACTACTTATCTTTCAACTGAAATTCTGATCGCCCTCGCTAAGATAGGTGTACTGCACAGTGTAAGAGATAAATTCGAACCTATTCGTACGTACTTTGATAAGACGGGCGAGACCAAAGTCCGCAATTTTAACATTGTTGTTCTCTCCGACCAAAACATTCCTTGCAGCAAGATCTCTGTGAATGTAGTTCTGAGTTTCCAAGTAAGCCATCCCAGCCGCTATTTGGGCAGCAATTTCTATCAACTGGTGACGGCTTAACGACCGACCTTTTCCTGCGGATGGGGAGTAACAACGTGAAGCAAAAAAAAGACTTTTTATGAATCAAATGGAGACCAACGGTAAAACGGACATGCATTGAAATTTTCAGATTCGAAACAAAAAGATCATTTACAAGATCGGAAGCGCAGCATCAGTTGGATTTAATAGGTAACAAATCTACCCGAACCGCGATATTGGTCGAATACAATGATTCACCGGATTCCATAATACTGATAACGTCTATCTCAGGAAGCTACACGAGAAATTTTTTCAGAAGGGCCCATTTATATGGTTGGCCGAAGGATGGAGAGTACAAATCCATCGTAAAGTCAGGAAACTAAATTCAATATCCGTCCAAAACGAGTGTATCACGTTCATCAAAATCTAAACCAGCTCATCACGCAAATCTTGAACAAACGAACCGGTAGTCTCGATAAAGGAATTAAACGAGAGCCACCGTCGACAAACATCTTTGCTCTTCTTCCCGTTTAAAAATTGATTGAACTCACTTGAAGCAAGAGCCCAACATTTTCTTTTAAATTCAAGGGATTTTCATGGCTCTAATAGTCTAATACATTTAACCAAAACAAGCCATACAAGTCTGAAATATTAAAATAAAGGCAAAGGAAACTTTCCTCCAAGTACAAAATCTGAGTAAACCTGCTCGCACACATTGGCAGACGCTGACTTCACACCGAAACGATCATTCCGAGCATGTCGAAAATGCATGAGTAAAGACGTTATGAGAAGACAATTTTTTGATGAAGTCAAATACCTTGGAGATACTCAAGGAGGGACCCATTACACATCAATTCGGTGATGATATAAATCGGTTCTTCCAGCGTACACACAGCGTACAACTGAATTAGTTTGGGATGCCTCAACTTCTTCATTATTTGAGCTTCAGCCAGGAAGTCCTTTGGGTCCATCGTTCCTGTGAAGGAAATACATAGCATTGAACATCATCAGTGAATCGTAAAACTCGACGTCTAGAATAATATTCTACGCATACTGAGCACTTTCCCGCGCGAATACAATTCAATAATTCGGTTGAAACAACTGAAAATCGCCTGACAAAATAACTTTAGTACTTAATCTGTAAGTGCCGTAAATTGAATAGAGGTCAAAAGTACCGGCAAAATAAGATTCGCATTAGAATACTTATAACCACTCAAATTTAAAATCAGGCGCACACATATTCTTATCGCACTGATGAACGACGAAATTGACATCAAAAAGTAGACCGGCCGGTCCAAAATTAGGCGTTCCCCGTTCTTTCGTTAGCAGAAAATCTTACTTTCTTGGAATAACGTCTTTTCATCCGCCAAAATCCCTTCTCACGCAAAACACAGAAACTTTACTCCCAAGCAACCGGAAACGGCATGTTTTCAAAACAGGTCAAAATCGGCAGACCAGGAGTTTCCCCAAAAAATCCTCACAGCAATTACACATTCAAAATTTTGTGGTCCAGCTTATTCGGTCAAAGCAAAATATGTTTAAAGCGGAAGCTCCGGCAGCTCACTATTATCATAAACGCGTAACAGCAATTTGCACGAACCTGCTTTCAGAGTTTTAATTGCAACAGGAGTGGTACTATTCCAAAGGCCTTCCCAAACTTCGCCAAATTGGCCCTGGCCTAATTTCCTCACGAACTTTAACGAATTTCGATCAATTTCCCATTGGTCCCGAGTGGTGACCGAGAGGTCGGCAGTGTTCGGTTTTTCGACCTGCAATCGCAATTTGTAAACATGCATGTATTGTCATAAATTCGTCGAGTAAACATTACTTGTAAGCAAGGGTGCTGAAGATTGACGCATAATCCATCGGCGCCGCGGGAGTAATGATCCACCAACTCCTGCAGCGTTTGGAACGTTGTTTTCCGAGCAATGAAAAACCCACCTTCGTCAAGCTGACGAATGCGATAATGCTTCACCGTTTCCCCGTCACGAACTAAAAATAATGTATGTCACAAAATTTGGACCAACTTCTTGGTGGAAAATAAAAATGTGACCATTTTAGCAAGAAAATCTCTACATCAAGGGGACGATCGCATCCGGACGGATCCCACAAATACCCGCAAAGCAGGGTAATCCAAAATGCATATCTCTTCCGCACTTGACTCACCAGAAAGGGAATAATCATTCCTGCGACTTTCACTGTCACGGATTAAAAACGCTCCGTGGGAGTTATTTGGCATCAAGAGCTTCTTCTCAGCTTCGATTCTTTTGATTTTTCCGAAATACCATCTGTGTGAAAAAGAAAGAAAAAGTTTCTATGATAACGGTGTACCTCTTACCTCGGCGGAAAAACCTTCACATTTGCGTGGTGCATCATCACGAAGCTGCAAATTTCACTTTTCAAAAATGCCAATAATGAATTCAGAATCATCCCGAATTATTTTCCCGATGATTGAAATTTCATTTGCTTCGAAACCGTAAAACTTTTTAAAAGCATAAAAATTCGTAGGTGTTAAATTCCACAAATTCCAACCGGAAATCTTTTTGGAAGAGGAACAATTATAATCTAATGGATAATGTAATTTATGGTGATATTTCCGGTCATCTTCCAAACTCGATTTTCGGTAAGTTCAACGTTTGAATAAACTAAAACTTACGGTTCAGCTTCGATTGACATCAGCTTGGCGACGTAATTGGAAGGAATGTAACCGTCATGTTTTGTTGCCTTGCTCCTGGCGAACCACCAGTCACCCTGCGTGTCGTTCAGTATTTCGAGATGTTCCCCCTTCTTGAAGCTTAAATCTTCATCGGTGCGAGCATCGTAATCATATAAAGCAACGAACACTTTCGTGACAATATTTGGCTCTGGTTCAGGCTGCGGCAGTGTGGGCATGCTCGGCATGCCATTCTGATCGTTTCCTCCTCTCGAAGACTCCATCACTGGTTCGTGCGAAAGATTCACTGATACGACCCCTGCATTACCGAGACTGACACTGCTCTTCGGTATGGTTGAAAGCGGTTTGTCATCGGGACTCCGCCTTCCACCACGACTGAAGCAGTTGCCCATGACGAATAACACCACGGAATCCGACGATCAGATCACCATTCCGATGGAGGGACTAAAAGATGAACATTGAAGCAGACATACACCTGGAAAAAAAAAACAAGCCGACATAAGAGGAGGCTCGTCAAGCAATTAAGGCAGTTCCATAACATTCTAAGCTGATGACAGGGCGATCTTAAGAATTCTTGCGTGTCCATGCGATATGGGATTATTGTCGCCTTGTTCATCATCTTTTCAGCAGCTTTGAATACAAGGTGTACGCTGGAATTCCGAGTTAAAAGCATTATCTGTTATAAAACTTTCAACTATGTGTGAGCCCGAACGCCGCTAACGGCATACATTATTTTTACAACCGCAACTGTCGGATTGTACATAAATTCAAGCGTCTCCGCTCAAGCATCGAAAAAATTTCACTTCGATGATTTTAAGGAACACAAATGATCTGATATGAAACCACACACTGCCCTCAATTACAAGCTATGATCGGGCGCACTTCGCACTCAAAAAAGTTCGGGACATTCTTACGAAATGATATAATCGGAAGCTGGTACTATATCTCGACTCATTCACAGCACGCCTCCCCACTTCCCCAGTACATTGTGCCGTACGAGATTTCGCTGATTTTGCCGAATTGGAATTCTGACGACCATTATAAGGTAAAAGTACAGATGTCACTCGTTCTCATAATCAATTCTAGGGGGATGACTAACCAGCAATTCAAATACATACTGTAGTTTGACGTAAGTCACATGATTCTTAAGAATAGCTAACTTAATGTACAGTTACTGTAGTCTTTTGGCATTTTTCCCAACTGACCTGTGCTGGATGCAAAAGTACCACATGGGTGGACACCGCGGTGGCGACCTCGTCCTCTATAAAAGCACGATGTATTATGTACCGGATGCATATATACAGTACTGTATACATACAGTATTCGCGACAGTATTCGTATACATTCTTGTCGTGACTGCTGCTGCAGATTTTACATACAACAGTAATTCCAAATACTAACCCTGTACTACTGTACTGTATATTGTGGTTTCTGTACATATATATACCTTACATACTGCTTATTTTAATACAGAAGTGGCATTTTTACATTTTGACAAATTCTTGCTATTATAGTGGAGGCTGCTGGCAAATAAACAGATCGATGGATTTGAATTTTTTGTCCCAGTTGTACCTCACTAAATAAAACAAATATTACTATACTATAATGCATTATTGTGGCATGAATACATAATTCACGTAGGGTATTGTTCAAAAGGAAACATTCCATAATTCGAATAGAGCAATATTTGGGTTAGCAGTATAACAACATTTTTTGTTCGTCATTATAAAATTATTGTTACTCTCATCGGCATTTTTACGATTTCAGGCGGGGTACAAATAGAAATTTCATAATGCTTGTGGTGAAAAAAAAGCACACTACAGTATTATCCATGCAAGTGCATGCAGCAGCAGCAGTCCCTGAAATTATTTGCTTTATACAGGTGAAACATTTCCTTTTTTAGGCAAGCACTTTTTTGTTTTCTTGGAGCTCGATAGGCATGGCCATGATTTCTTCGTTAGGAAAGGCACCAGCGTCTACATTGAGTAGTATTCTTCTATGATGGACTGTCTACATTACATAATACCACACTACAATTCCAGGATTCTTACAACTGCAGAGTGTCATTTGAATTTTGAAACACAATATACTGGCACAAAATAAGTGTAGTCTTGGATATATGCAAACCAACCATTCCCGTCATCACTCGCTGCTATTCAACAATAGAACTTTATTCATGTAATTTCCTAGGATGCCTGATTCGCATCCGCAAACTCCCAATGTATTTGTAGATATTCGAGTTAATCTTTGATTTGATGGCATTTCATAAAAAAAAATTGACTCGTTATTCATGATTAGTAAGTTATTTTGGAAAATTTTCAGATAAATGATCACCAGCAGCGAGTGCGTCTAATTTCCTCCATTTTTCACCCTATTCGTCGAAAATTTCATGTTAAAAAAGATCAATATTCCAAAAAATGCACATGGAAATATACATACTGTACCATACGATATTCATAATAAAAAAGAAATGTACGATTACATAATACACAGAACTTCCGATAACTTTCTTTCAAGGGTAATATTTTTTAGTGACAACTACAGCAGTCGTGTCATTGTACAGGTATAACACACGGAAACGGGAAAACACAATTAAATATAGAGGATTGAAGTGTTATTTCGTCCAAAATTTAAATTTGTATAGGAAGTACAGTATGTACTGTATTTATTGTATATTTTCAAACTACTTTTATTGATCACCCAAGGGAAGAGCCCCTTGAATGTTTGCGTTTCAATGCGACGATCATGTCTTCGTTCTCCACAGCAAACCAATGATCGCGACTCACTTTCGCGGGTAAGGAAGGAAAATAAAATATTCTCAATGTACATGAAGAAAAATTCAACACCGAAAACAACCAAACGGAACATAGGTATACACACCGTGTACACAATGGAAGGATTGAAACGTCCCTCGCCTCTACGAAGAGATCAAAAATTCAGGATGAAATACTCTCCAGTCAACTTTTATTGCCTACAAGAACTTCGCGTTCATTTCACAGCCACGAACTACTACAAATACAGTATACGACTGATGAAGACCATGTTTGGTCAACAAATCGAATATAAAAGCTTGGATTGGCACTGGATTCACCTCGCTGTTCCTTTGTAAAATTATATATGAACGACGTACTGTCCAATTTCATCGTAGTTTGATGTATAAAAAGAGAGATACAATACACACATGAATGCCAGTTGCAAATGAACCTTAGAAAATGCGTTCCATTCTGCGCCAACAGGGTTGCTAGAAATACTTCACTGTAATTCCATAAACATATTCAGCATTAATAAAAAAAAAAACCCCATCATGATATTCATACCGGACACCCATTATCTATACGCACGTCATTATAAATTAGGTTCACTCACTATTATCGCATAATTCGAACTGAAATTTCCTTTAGAAGATAGATCATTCGTTTAGCAGGAGTCGAAGGAACGAACAATTCTCCTCGTTTAAAAAGTTAGCTTCTCAACATTCGTAATTTTTTGCTTTCATTCAAACATGGAACATGCCATGAAAGACGCACGAACGCATTTGTTGGAAAAATTAACGTCTTACTTTCGGGGAAACACGGATATTTAGGTTGCAACATATCGGGGAAGATCGCGAGATCGAAATGATGCTAAAATATTATTTCCGAGTTTGCTCAGTAAAATAAGAAATGAAAAATAATCTCAGACGAACACATAATCCGATGCCTCGTTCATTCCTAAAGTACACACGAAACGCAAAATAGGGTTCATCAGGATAGACCTTGCTGGAATTCGATACCAGGAGTCTTCCCGGTAAGTTGTTTGTGAAGGTCCTCAGCCTTCGCCTTAAACTCAGTTGCCTTCTGTTCATTCTTTTCTACGCCGTCGCCACGCGAGTACATCTGACTCGTATTCGCGCAAGCAAAAACGTTCCCAAGCTCACAAGCTCTCAAAGAGTACTGAAAAGCACGGGTCATATCTGGTTTCGGAACAGTGGTCCCGTCTTCCGTTCCGGTCAAGTACATCCCGCTCAGGTGATAGCAAGCATCACCCTGACCCAGGGTGCAAGCTTTTTCCAAGAGTTTGAGACCACGTGGCAAATCCAGGGCTCGATGAGGAGACAAGGGGTTCCGCAGAGCGCACAGCAATCCACCATTCATGCAAGATTCCGCCAAGTCCAAGTCACATCCCTACGACAAAATCAATTACGAACACGCTCAAAAAAGGTAAATACAGTGATTGATTCAACAGGGATAAAATTGAAAATTCAATCATAAAAATTCAGCATGCAACAATAAACTGGTTCATGAGGTTTCCTTCTATCCGAACGCCCCAAACTGAGGAAAATTAAGAAAATATCGATGCACGATCGTAGAATTCAAACAACGCCCGGATTGTTTTTGACTCGTGAATTCCATAAGTAGGACTTGATCAACTGCTGAGGTTAGTTTCGGCAACGTTTTCATTGATTTGCACCATTAATTTTATCGATTCATCGATCCTGCAAGGGTTCTTCATGGGAAACTAGGTCAGTACCTGCGTCCAATTTTCGGGGAAACACGTTGATCAAAATACAGTACTCCGATTACAGCTACAGTATCCATTTATCGACTAACCTTGGCATAATATTCTAGAGCAGTATCAGGTCCTTTTTTGACGCCTCCGCGCCCCAGGAATCCATAATTGCCGTACTTGTGACAACTCCGGGCAAACTTGTAGTCGTCGCAGTTTGTGCGGTATATTTTTGCTGCTTTTTCAAAGTCTCGGCTCACAGCTTCAAAATAGTCGCCCAACAAGTGACACACTTCTGGCCGTTTCTCGCTAAAGCAACCGAACCGATATTCAATGCCTAAATTCTTTAGATATTCCTCGACGTCTTCGGGTTTCGCGTTCATTTTCAAAACTTTGGCGCAAACGGAATAGCACCTCTTTTATGTCACGCGGAAAATTTGAAGAAGTTGTACCTTCAAAACACGGAGATATACAGCAGAAGTAGCGGAACAACACCACATAAGTATCCAAAGGAAGCGAATGCATTCGAATAAACCCGAAGAAGTTGAACTAGTTCGCAGCTAATTTTTGTTTTCACTTCTCAGAGAAAAATTGTTATAAAAAGCCTTAAGATACTAATCCTTCATTTTCACCATTGTAAAATTATATGCAAATTTTCGAACACGTACTAGCCCATGATGATCTGATGACATCCCTCATATCTTAGAATACTTCTAGTACAATGAAAATTAATTTTCCTCTGATTCTCGAAATTCAAAGAACTCACGAACTTCGGGAAAAAGGTCAAATCCACAGGTTAACTGCAGTGAATTACAAAAAGGTTGCAAAGAGCAAACTTTAATCTTCCGACAGGAATCGAGAACAACTCCCGCGCGATTTGAGAAGCCTCGGAGGACTTCGAAACAGCCTTCGAGCTTCGTTTTGTTTAAACACCATTTTGATTGAGCGTTCAGAGATGGCTCGAGGAAGTGAGGAAAAAACACACACGCTAGGGCATACATGAAAATCAAGAAATAACAAATCTTCAAACCCCTTCCCACAGCCAAACTAAACTTTCATTGCGAGGCAGAAATGCTGAGGATGCGGATAACGAGCATCAGGACACATGAACCCGTGTGATTTGGGATCGCGGAGTTCTTCGACCACAACTCGGCGATGAGCACGAAAAATTGTCTCGATCTCCATCTTGTCGCCCCAACAAACAGTTTCGACAGAGGACGTGATTGCAGGCCAGCTGATACAAGTTGGCCCCCCGGGAAGCGTTGCACACGACGCAAGACTGACCAGTATTTGTTGGTGCAGTGAAAAACTTCGCTGACGATTTTACGACAGGCGTATCCGCAAGTGCTTCCGCGATTGCGTCAGCCAAACTCCGTTCCAAGTTGTCTGCGTGGCTGTTCTCCCCGCAAATCTTCGATTCACTGTTTTCAACTAAACGAGGGCGCTTCGATGGAGGTTCACTGGGTTGTTGTACCGGCATGAACTCTTTTGAAGATGATGATGAAACCAAGATCGACGATCTTGGATTCTGGGAACTCGTTTCATGATGATACAACTGAGGGCCAGGAATGCTCATGCCCACAGACCGACCGAGATTCAGCGAGATCCCGCGCTCCTGTCTGATCTTCAGCACGGCATCAATCCGATCCTGCGTTTAAAAGTTATCGAGGATTTGAAAATGACCAAATCACCACTTGAAATCATATGGCAATCTCGTTAAGCTCTTCATCGAAGCAGAACAATTACTTTTATTCAATTCGAGGTTTATTCATTTGGCAGTCAAATGTTTGGTAAAAATAATTCAAACCTACGACAATAGGCTGATGTGTGACATAACTGTTCACGGCTTGATGCAAGAAAACATTTGAAAATGTCTCAACATAATGGAAACGGAAAAGACATTTCATCATCATTCAATCCAGAAAGTGACCGTACATAAGAATGCTGATCCCGGCTGCCTTCATTCAAAGTTTCTCATTTGTTAAGGAGGCACATCATGACAATAGGTTCTCTGTCCCAACATTCCGTCCCAGGAGCCCCAAGCGGGATAATTTGATTCTCCAGGGTTTCTCCTTTCGTCATCTCATACTTTTTAACTAGAAAACTTCAGCCAGAACAAAAGACAAAATTGCGCTCTTTGATCTTTGCCATAATGTCTCAGTACGAAAAATGAAAAATTAATAAATGAAGTATTAGGCGTGCACAGTATTTTTTAATTGACTTCGCCCATGACAGATCCCTCAATTTCTGACGAGCATTACGGAGTCACACCTCCGAGGCCATACTGAAGATCAAATTTCATACCTGAATTACATGAACAGATACAGTAATCTCAAATTACAGCTTCGACTTGTTCGTCACGAACTTGATTCCCAAGTTTGCGGAAACGATTGCTTCGACATGCTAACCTTCAGAGCAGAATGGGGAACAACCACATGAACGTCGTTATCAAACGGAATGCGAGTGAAGGGGTCGTTCGGAGGACGATGGTGTAAGGCAGCTTCAGTGTCACAATAGCGATCTAGCGTGCACTTGTCCACCGTGTGACCCGACGGAAGCAGCATCGGGAAAGTCATCAACTCCGAGCTAATTGGGTCAAAGAACTCCGGATATAGGTCCTCAATGTTATTCTCCTCATTATCCTTTCTTGGAGAATGTGTTCGAGTAACACCACTGGTAATTGGATCAAGGTCGCGCTCTTCTCCTCTCAGACAAGGCCCCGCTAGAGCAGCTGTGAAGCAGAATAGGAATGCTTCAAAAACACCGATCGAGAATCTGGATTCCAGAAGGGATTTCGACTAAAGCCAAAATGCGATTAACCAGTCAGGGAGGTATTATACCAGAATGAAGCATCTCTCCCGCATGATTTTCCCCTTCTTATTTGATTGGTCAAGCATTTTCAATCAGGTCTACCGTTATTACGGACAAGATGAACGAAGACCACAAAACTGGACCAACGCAAATGAGAACCAGATCAGAAATAATGATTGACTCATCCACATTTCAAGGAACCAACCAGAAGTGACGCGTTGGAACATCCAGAAGAAGAACAAGGGCTGATTGAACACAAACATAGTCAGCTAAAATTTTTAGAACTAGAACCCAGCGATTGGAATTGAATTTCAGCAAAATCATCTCATCAATTGCTACATGTGATTATCCATTTATATAAATAATTGGCCGCCAAACCAGAAAAAACACGTGGTGATTGAAATTAAAACCTGCTCTTCATCCACCACAAAATGATTCCTTCTTTTGTCAAATAAATGAAGACACAATACATATTGTAGTCACCCACTGCCTAAGCCTAATGGACTTAATTCATGCATCAGATTAGTCCTTTACACAACAAGTTTGTTTGGCTAATTGTTTCCCCATATGTTTTACACATTAAAAATTGTAATTCAGTTTTAAATTGAAAATGTAAACTAAAAGCCATACTGTATATGTATATCCTCTAATAAACACCCAAGGGGCTTATTAAAAATATTTGACTTTCCTCCTACTTTGCATTTGAAAAAGACTGGCTTTTATTAGAGACTGGGAGTCATTTAAATTTTAAATTTTAAAACACCCAGGACTATAAGTAACAAGAGGAAAAAAAGGAATGGAAAAATGGAAATTGTCAGGGGGAAAATGTTATGACTGCAAAATTGTGGGAATACTTAACATCCATGCATTATAAATTGATGATGAGAAAGGGTTGTTCTCTCTATTTCTTGAAGCAGGTGGACTTCCTCTAAAACGAAATTCAAGAAACAAGGAAATATTGTTTGTGGAGAAAAAGACCTTGTAGAGAACACATAAGATATGGAGACATAACCCTATATGACCAAAGAAAAAGTCATTGCACAGCTTTAGGCAAGATTGTAGTCCACCTGTGCATATGCCTGTAAGAGATTTTGCATTCAGAAAATTTTCAGATTAACCACAGGCATTTCTGAGACCTGGCCTCAGGTTTTGGAGAGACGCCTCTATATTGAAGACCAGAAATTTATTAAAGAAAATAAAGTACTGTATATACATTTACAAAAAAAGGATCCATAAACATACGGAAAACACTTCTGAACTCATCCCCTAATTTTTCAAAATGTAAGGAACAGGAATGAACAAAACAAAAACTGGGTGCATTCTGGACTGAAGTCCGTTAGGCATATTCGAGAGGTAAAACCACCTCCAGAGACGAAAATCTGTACGGGCGGGATGTCCGTTAGGCGGGGGCCACTGTACTAGCTTCATGAGTAACACAACTTGAAATCGACAAGGAATGACTGCATGCATGTTCAGCCAATAAAAGGAAAACACATTTTCCAGATTTTGTGTCTGACGACTGATTCAGATTATTACAATTGACAATTACGCGTTGAAGTTTTGAAGACTTTTCAGAACAATCAAGCATTAATCATCTCCATTATGAGACATTTTATTTCCAGAATGAGGCTAGTCATTAACATATCACAGGCATAAGGAAACTGGAAAAGTTTAATTATGAAACCACCCACACACTCCTAGAATACATTGTTTCAATTTACAACATGCAAGATTTATTTAGAAGTGTGTTTACTTGTCTCACCAATGCATCCATAACCCAGAAATAGGTCATCATTCAGAACATAATTTGATAATACAGGAATTTTTAATTGTGAATCATCCATCAGACAAAATTGTTTTGAAACGCGTCCACTCCTCGACTCGATCTCTATTTTTCCTAAACTTCAAGCTCAATGTGCGCATTTACAGTATTTCTTTTGCAATTCTGAAGTCATTGTTGTACATTTAAACATCCAATGAAATCTCTCACCTCAGAAGACTTTCTTGTATTTATAAAAACTAGTAATCTACCTGGTTCAGATGAGATAATTTATCAAATAAAATGGATGGAAAAAATGATACTGTACTAAATAATTTAAAGAAAAGCAGAAAATGGTTATTGAAAAATAAACGTGAATATGAACCTCATGTTCTTTTATATACTGTATTTTGAAAAATGTTCCTTCAACAAAGTTTCGACCATACAAATAACTATTTTCAAAAGTGCTAATTTAGTATAATTCTTAATAATGAAGGGAAGATGCAAAAACAATTAATCCGAATGCTCCACAAAATTCAAAATTTAATCAAACTACGATACTCAGAGTAACCTACAGTGGGACATTTGCGTTGACCAATTGGAACCCAAACGACCGAATGAAAGAAAAGGACACTTACAATACAATTCAAAGCAGCCAATTTCGAGACCAAACATTTCCGGGAGCCCGATCACAGGGAACCACTATACTGTACTGTACCAAGAATCATACCTACAATATTTTTCTTCCCATTACTTCTAACAAATTTGTCAATAAGCATGCATCCAGATCAGGGACTTGGAGCAGGGTAAAAAAAAATGTTGCTCCGCTCCGGAAACTATCATGGACACAATCACGTGCTCCGATCTGGTGCTCTGCTCCCAACTCTTTTCAACATAAAAATGAATCTTTTCATAATTTTTTTTTTGCAATAACAATTTTTTCTTGGTCCCCAGCACTTGTTCCACAGGAACAAAGCTATGAAGATTTTATTTTTACAAACTAGTTTTCATCAATAATCTCATTATATAGATTTTTTATTACAGTATATGTGTGCTCTATATGCAATACAAATTTTGAAATTTTTGCCACAGACTAGGAATATCTGACTTGAATGTACAGTAATAAATACTTCATCACAATAGGGCATAGAAATTCTAATCTTTGTGAATTTATAGTCAGCTATAATATAGGTATAGAGGCCCATACGGGCCACTCCCTATATTAAAGAGATTCTGTAAAAACATTATCTGAGTAAGATTTTTTTCCGGTCCCCTGAATTTCCATGTAGAATAGTGTTCCCCAACTCACGGTCCACAGACCAGTGCCAGTCTGCAGAAGTTTTTTGGCAGTCTGCAGGAAATTTTCCTCTGCATAATAAATCAAAAGAAGCAATGAAGTCTTATTTTTATCTGAAATTTCAGAAAGATAATTGCAGTTTGAATTAATGATGAACAATAAAAGTTGGCTTTTCTCCCAATAATACTTCAGACAAAATTTCACCTACTGAAACAAATTATTGTAATTTTTATTCAGAGAAACCTTTCTTTAAGTTGACTTCTCTAAACTTTTGAAGACATTCCACTGTACTGTAGCTGCATCATTGGTTCTTGGCTTAATTTTTTCAATCAAGCAAACTTTTTAAATACCTCCCATGAAGTCTTTCAAGCAAAACATTTTTGAGTCTGCAAAAATGTTATGAAACTTCGCCAGTGTGCAGAAATTATTTTTGAAATGTGCCAGTCCACAACAACAACATTTCTTGGTCTGTGGGTCAAAAATGTTTGGGGGACAATGGTCAAGACTATGGAGTATGAAGTGTCCACCTTTAATGTAGTAGAGCAACCAGGGGATGCATATTTCAAGCAAGATGTTAATGACTTATTCTAAGGGAGGGATTACTGTTGGCTGGCACCAGCCAAACTATCACATGTAGCAGGGTGGAATCACATGTATATGGTGGAATTAACTTGGAAGACCTGGAGGAAACTCTTGGAATTAATGCCATGTTGATTCCAAGAATTCTGAGAGGAAAGCTAGGCTACAACAACAAAATCTGTAGGAAGGGTGCCTCATCTTTTGATTGGAACTCTGCCAGGGTGACTTCTGCAAAACATTAAAAAAATGGGTAAAACAGGGCTGACTTTTTTCTTGTGACAAAGAACATGTTTTCCCTAAAGAATAATTGTTTTTCAGTTCATGTGTGGGCCTTTTCAATTTATATTCCAAGAACTTTTGTTAGACCCCTCATATATCTCACAAACTAACCCATTTATTAGATTTCATTGAAAAATAAATACAACTTAACCATGGGATACTTGTGTAGCACACAAGCAACCACATCTTTGAGGTTGTTGAGAAAAAATGGATTCAGGATAACCCCTCTCTCAACCTAATAATAATTTGAGCAACAAGGGGAAGAATGTTCAGGGTTTGAGGACTTGGCTGCCTTGGAGGGAGGTAGTTTTGTTGACTGGTGCCAGCCAAACAGTCACATACGGCTGGGGGTTCTCCCCAAATTTTTCAAATTTAATTTGAGGCCTGGAGCCCGGAGCAGCCAAAAATTTTGCCTGCTCTGGGCTCCGCTCCGGCTAAAATCACTCTGCTCCAGGCTCCGGCTCCGCTCCAAGTCCCTGGTCGAGATTATTTTAATTTTCAGAATATCATGTTCAAGACGCATTCTCAATTCAGCGCATAATCCGAGTTACGACATAGAAAAACGTCGAAAAACCGTTTTCTGGCGTCAAGATAATGCTTCATATTCGAACATTAGCTCACATCCAACATCTTGTAAAATTATCAAAATCTAGAAAAAACAATTTACTTCTCAACACCTGAAGAACTGCGGTAGCATCCGTTTCTCTGATGGGTCGTCCCCATAACTCGATGCGAGCGACACCAGCATTTCGAGGAGGCCGACCACGTAACAATCGCACGACCACACCTCGAACGGCCCCTCGATGCTTGAACACATGTAAATCGTCATCCGGCTGCGGCGACAAAGTTTTCAAAGTTGATTCGTCTGAATACCCGTCTGGACCGGAATCTGGCGTCAATGTCGTTGTAGGAAAGGATCGCTGTTGCTGGGCGGGAGATAATTCGAGATTCTTAAACAGAAATGCTCCAGTCGTTGCCTCACTTCTCGCTCGTCCAATCATGACCATTTCCTGGCTTCGCCTGCGAAGAGCACGTTTTCAGATCAGAATTTTATAGCTGAATATAGCGATGGAAGAAGAAAGCAAAGCGTGACTGATAAAGAACAGTACATGTTTTTCACAAACATTAAAAATGAGGATGCGTCTTAGATTCGATGGCATCTTACTATAGTCGAACTTCAAGGGACTAGAAAAATTCAAGTTGGGGAGGTTTCGAGTAGAGGAAACAAATAAGAATCATTTTGTGTTCTTGCGGAAAGCAAGAATAATTGCAGGAAATTTCAATTGGATATATTCTCGGCTTTAAACTACATTTCAAATGAGCTGACAGGATGCTCGACTCAGAGGCAAGGGTTTACTTGCCCAATAAGTCTTTCATAAGTCATTGCAAAACACATCAAGTTACGCTTCAATTGCTTTTCTCTTTCCTGCAGCAATAAAATTATAGCCATAGGGCCTCCACAAAAATCTGAGTCACGGAGGCATGAGGAAAAAAGCCTTCGAGTTAAGGAGATTTTAATGCACTGTTCCTAAGGAAATGCAGATTGGGAGAGGAGAAAATATTTGACAGTCGAAGGTCCGAGTTATCGCGGTTCAACTGCGTTTATCAAGCGAAATGCCAGTTTAACGGAATAGTCCAGAAACAGTTCACTTGAGCGAAAGTTCGATTTATCATTAATTTATCCCCATCCCTTTCATAACACTGGTTTGTATCAATACAAGCATCAACTCCCCTGAAATTGCAGGAAAACTAGCGATTCAAAATGAAATAAAAGAAACTAAAAATTCATCGGGGAAATTTATCGGAAGTAAGATTGTAGACGACCTTAATTTCCCTTGCAAGTAGAGGCGATTATTTTTTCAACCTGTCTTCGCAATACACCCTCATTCTAAATTAGGTTCTTCTCAAAAATCCGCACTTTTTTCGTTAAAAAAAAAAACTTGGGACAGTGAGAGCAATAGTTCTCAACAACTTTTCCCCTTTTTTTTTAGAACGACACAAACTACGTGTTTCCAAATCGATAACGTCTTACATTCGCGTCAGTTAGAATCCGAAACCCACCCATAGGAACGCTGACCACCGCTTGGAAACATAGGCAATACTCCGAGCTCCAGTGCAGTTGTCTGATGGCGGCCGATTCTCGGTACGATGCGAACGGCGGCAAGTTCAAGTGGCCACTTGAATTCGAATCGAAGCTCAGCGACAGAAGTGACGAACGACGCCAAGATCAGTCCTTTTCCTTCGGATCTCTCTTCATTCTTGACTTTGAGGAGGTTTGCGACGCCACAGTCATCTTCACACGGCCGGTCGCAAACCACGCGAGAAAGTAACGGAGCCAGGGCAAAATCCACGAGCATTTTATTCCGGCTAAATTTTTTCGTTCGCGTACCCGCACGCAACTTTGTGGGATAGTCACGTGATCATTGCTACCGCCGGAAAGAAAAGTCGAGTCATACGTAGCAATAACGTTGCTCCACGTACATAATCCCGAACTACAATCATCAATCATATTCAAACACGACACTTTCACTCACGGGAGAACGGGAAATTCCCAACACTTTCCCCACAGTTCATGAAAACACAGCTGCGGAATAAGACGAAAATAATTATAAAAATCGCGGGGTACATCCACGAAATATGCTTCCTCAGAAAAACAGGGACGGTTCCGATTCCGCGAGAATATCTGATGTCTCAAGAATTCATGGTACATGTACTAGAGAATTTCACCAAGAAAAACGTCACGGCCAACAATCATGGAGAAATACTACTCATATTTTTTGAAGAAGCAAAAATGTCCTTCGAGCACTGCATTACGCTATTTTCATTCGCAAGCAATCTTGCGAAATATGCAAAGAAGGATACAATACATACAGTAACGTTGTGGACGTTACAGTGTACTCCCCAAAATCGTACTCCAAGAATACCGAAACCCCCAAGTAGTCTAGCACTCCAGTGTGTGCTATGCCGTCCGGCGGGTCTATTCAAATCCGCGGAGTGAAGTCCATGGTGAACGCATGCAGTAGTTCTTTCAGCAAAATTCCCAGGAGAGCCAATTCCAGGGTGATTCTTGAAGCGGCATTTATTCCGGCAGAAAAATTTTAAATTCTGCCAAAATAAATTTTCACTGGAGGCATTGTTATAGACCAGCACGATGGCAAAAAATGTGTGCCAAGTTTATTATGAGGTGCTAAAGCATGGTACAGGTAAATCTCAATTAGTTGAACATTGCTAAGTCAAATTCTTTCATAAGTCATATTTTTTTCAAGTCCCTGTCTGAATCCCCTTAGAATCAATGCATTAAAAACCTCTTACAGCATTCAAATTGAAATGTGAATTGACACTTGCATCATTATTGCACTGTTATTTATTGTGATTCTGTTGAACCTGACTTTGGGGGGTGGTTTGGTAAAGTTAGGTTAGGTCAGGTTATGTTAGTTAAAAATATTTAACCTATATACTGTATTTATATATACTGTATATATGTTCATTAAAAATTATTTTAGCTAACCTGACCTGAGTTTTCTGCTAAAACTGACTCTGGAGGATGGTTAGGTAAAGTTAAGTTAGGTCAGGTTATGTTAGTTAAAATATTTTCATGGAACAGATGTCAATATAAAAAGGAATATTTTAACAAACATGACCTGACCTTTCCTAACTTTACCTAACTGCCCCCCAAGCCAGTTTCAGCTGAATCCCAATAAATAACATTGCAAATGTCAATTCACATTTCAATTCAAATTGTCAGTAATGAACTTGGATCAAGGATGAAACAGACCAATGGTAAGGCAGAGGATAGTGTACCCCAACATCAGAACAACGGGGTTGTTGAATAATTGGGGTGAAGAGGATTCATTTTTGAGAACCACACATGGATGCCACTGATAACTTTCTGTGTGTTGTTCTTAGCAACATCTATGAGGGCATTGTTTTGCGCGTGGCTCCCCCAAGTGAGATAGCTCCAAGGCCTCCTGTTAAAATAGATTTTTTTAGAATTCATCATTATTTTTGCCAAAGTAAATGCCACTTCAAGAATCACTGTGGAATCAACTTTCCTCTGAATTCTGTGGAAGAAACCACTGCGTGAGTGCTCACTGCCAAAAAGCCTCTGCAGAATTGCACTCCCCGGATGTGGACTAATCCTCCTGCAGGGGGAGTATGCTGTGTCTGGGGAGTATGCCCTGCCTGCCACAACGGCCCCCACCCAGGCCCATAGGTGCAGACATATTGGCCCACGCAAAAGGCCTAACCGTGACATCAACTGTTTTGTTGTACCTTTGTACTTTGTTACGCACAACCAATCCCAGCATGGCTGATGCAATGCCTGCGCGCACTTGCATCAGCCATTTCCAATGTGTTACCTCAGGGGACAAGCCCAGCCTCACTTAATGTACAGCCTTCAAGCCAAACAGTTGTTGGTCAAATTATTGAAGTGCCTAAGATTTTGAACAGAACAAGTTTATAAGCCACTACCGGGTTGAATGCAATAAACCGCTACCATTGTGTTCTTACTAGAGTGCATGCACTAATTGAGATACAAAGTGTCCTTACTGCGTGTCAGGAAGTGTTGTAGAGAGAATCTCTTACTGGGGGCTCAGCTGCACAAAACAAACTATGGCAACCCCAAGTGACTGGAGTGTACAAAATACGTATGACAATGTGTCCCCAGGGACTTCAAACAAAACTACACAGGCACTTGCCCAACCAAGCACCTGCATGTTCATCAACCCATGGAACAACATAATGCTGCCTGCCATATGCAGCTACTGTGCGGCACAGAAAATTCCACAGACCAGAAACTGTGACAAGCTTGTTGCAGCACTCCAAGCGTGTGGCATCCAGCCACTAAATGTTCTCATGAACACGTCACCCAATTTTGGAGCAGGGCCGTCAGCAGCCAACCTTACCGGCAACCTAACAGCATCCCTGCCAAGGCATTGCATGGACTATCCACAACAATCAAAAGACAAAGACATCAAAGTCTACATTTGACAACTGGCAATTGCATTTAAACACAGCAACACACCCAATTTTACAAGGGCAGATTGCCTGATTGGGCATTTGACACCAGCTATTGCCACCGCAGCCCAATGCCCGTATGAAGAAGGCTTTGAAGACTACTACCAAATTGTCTCACAGCTGAAAGTGCAGTTCAGGCTCTTGCCCTTTGAACATTTTACGCAGTTCCTCCAGTTGCAACCCTTGAATAAGGAAACATACGCGCAATTTGGAAACTGCCTCTGGGAGGAATACATAGCTACCTCTCCTTCAACCAAAATGACCTAATGGCGCAAGAAAAAGCCATCAAGGCAGCCCACATAGGCCAACTTCTGGCGATCACCTCCAGGGGTCTACACTCCCATATCCATTCAAAGGTGAACCCCAACAGAACCCTCACATGGGATGCATGCCTAGCGCATGCCAATGACTATTGGCAGATGCACCTGCCCACACCAAAACCCCCAGCGCAACCAATGCAGCAAGGCAACCATCAGCAAAAGACAACAGTGTCCGGGTTGCCAAAGCACTTCTGTGACCACCATCAACAGTTTGTCCTACACACAACTGCAGACTGCTCCCTTGCTGGTTGATCCAACTCCCAAGCCAGCAGCACCACACCAGGCAATCAATTGCCACGCACACTGCAATCATGCAATTTTCACCCAGGACACCTTGTTGCACACTTGACAGCAGAATGCCAAATCACCCCAGCAACCCAGGTGAATTTGCCATCCAAGACTGCGCAGACTGTTCAACAGACTAGATGTGTGCAATGTGGCATTGCAGGGCATAGAGCAGCAAACTGCCAGGCCCAGGGAAATGCCAAGATTGGGCAGTGACTGCTGTCCTCTGCTCAATCCCAAACCAAGCAGACGACAGCCTCACCATGATGATCACCATCAAAGACAAATGCTAGACCATGCTAATTGACACCGGCGCCACCTGGTCATTCATGGCAACTGACACTGCCGCAGAAGTAGGCCTCATGCCTCACCCAACAAAAGCAAAGATCTCTGCAGCTGCCTTACACATCTCCACCAATGTCAGTCATTTGGTAAGTACCAATTTTTCTCTTGGCTCTGACACCTATTGCAAAAACTTCTTCCTCTTGTCCAACACGTGCTATCCTGTCATCCTTGGCCTTGACACACTCAAGAACCTACCATTCTGTGTAACCCTCAACAGCCAAAGGATCTTCTCAGGTTTCCAAACTATAAAACCAACCAACAAAGCTCCACAAGCCAAGCTTGGCAAAGGCATCACATTTGTACAAGGCTCTGAGCCTGAATGCCAAAAGGTTGCCCACCTCCTAAAACAATACGTGGCCAACATTGTTCAATGGTCAGGCAAACACGGGTTATTCCTGCAACATGTGGCATCCCTCCCAACCAATGGGCAGCACCCAGAGCCACCAAGATGCATCTGTCTGTTGCCGGACAAAATCCTGGCACTAACCAAAATTTTGACAAACTACAAATGAGCAGGCATCATTGAACCCACCCAATCCACAGTGGCGCCTTGTCAAAGACTACAGGGAGATCAACAAAGTGATCCTCCCTGGGCCCCTGCACGGGCCCATGGGCGCAGACATATTGGCCCACTCAAAAGGCCTAACCGCAACATCAACTGTTTTGTTGTACCTTTGTACTTTGTTACTCACAAACAATCCCAGCATGGCTGATGCAATACCCCTGCTTGCTTGTGTCAGCCATCCCCAATGTGTTACCCCAGGGGACAAGCCCAGCCTCACTTACTGTACAGCCTCCAAACCAAATGGTTGTTGGTCAAATTATTGAAGTGCCTAAGATTGTGAACCAAACAAGTTTATAAGCCGCTACCAGGTTGAATGCAATAAACCAATACCATTGTGCTCTTACTAGAGTGCGCGTATTCATTGAGATACAAAGTGTCCTTACTGCGTGTCAGGAAGTGTTGGAGAGATAATCTCTTACTATACCTTACAGTGAGAGATAACAATTGCAGGACAACACAAAACACCATTAAGCCTGTAAAGGCAATTTCACTATCTCTCCCACAGAATCAGAAGGGCAATACAAGGACAAACCAAAGTGAAAACAACAGGAAACCAATGGGACCAAATAATGGGACTAGCACTGACTCACAACAAGGTCACAAACACCACAGGGAGCCAGAACCAAAAAGGAAAGGACACTCTGCTTTGAACTCCAAAGGAAGCAACATTGTCTTTTCTTGTGTCTTCTGTGAAAAACCATCCATCATACTTGTACTCCTACCCACCAAAAAAGACAATACAAAGTGTATCTCAGATCAATTGACCTCTACCTGCTCATTCCACCAATTGATCACCCACAAACACTTACTGGGGGCCAAAAGATAACCCTACCACACCCCACAAACTAACATGCTGCAAGACACAGAAAACTTGTACACAGTGGAACACGCCACTGTTG